CGGGCTTCATTCTTGCTTGCCGGTCCAGCATCAACCAAATCTATTTTCCCCGCTCATCAACACCTACAGTCAACCTAAGCGCGCCTCGGATTGCAAGCCCCGGACGCCTGTGGACAAACATCCCAGACACAGTCCCTGCCATGAAACAATGATGTCGGGGTAGTAGAAGTAGGAACGACATATATCCCATTTAGACGGACCCCATGCAGACCGAAATTCAGGATGCATCTTATTTAGATGGACCAGTTGCAGACCGAAGCTCGTAATCTTACCATGAACAACCAGGTGTCGCTGTGGCGGGACATTGGACGCCTTGGGTGACCACAGGGCCGCGTGCCCCACGGCAGGAGTGTTGGGCCCGCATGGCGCGCCTGTTGAACGAGAAGCCGCCAGAGTCTGCCGTGAAGGCGGGGCGCGGGTAGCCACCAATGTTTTCCTGCGCAACGTGAACGTCGATGTGCCACTGGCAGGCTCTCGCCGCATCGAGGTGCTGGCAAACGGCCTGCCGCTATGGCAGGGCGCCCAGGCGCCGGTCGACACCACTTTTGTCAGCCCAGTTGGCCAGGACGGGCACAGCGCGGGCGTGTGCGGACCGCGTGCCGGGCAAGGCGGAGGTGGACGCAGCACGCCGGAAACGTGAAGCCACATACCCGGAGCTGTTGGCCGCCCGTAGGTGTCGACTGGTGGCGCTGGTGGTCGATGTGGGCGGGCGCTTTGGCACCGAAATGGCGGACTTTCTCCGCCGCCTCGCCGCTTCCAAAGCGCGGGCGCATGGCTTCGGGCTGCAGCCCGACAGGCGGCAGGCCACCGCTGGACAGGCATGTTGGCTGTTGCCGCGCAGCGGGCACTCGCCTTGTCAAGGAGTGTGAGCTGCCGTTGGACAGGCCAGGCGAGTGTGACGGGGCGGAGCCGCGCTGGCAAGCCTGTTTGCGGACGCACACCACATATGCCCGGTGGCTGAAAGCCGCTTGCCGCTGCGGGCTGGAGGCTGCATCCGCAGCCTGACGGTAGCAGCGTCAGCCAACCAGGTACAGACAGCTGCGAAGAAAGGCCCGAAAAAAACCAACAAAATCAGCCATCTACAGTCTACCCCCGCCCCCCCCGGAGCGGAATATCAGGACATTTCCGGAGGGCACAACATCCCAACGCTGCATGGACAGCGGGCGCACGAGCCCATTTCATCATCTTGCCCCATGGCAAAAGGCTGCGTTCACTGCCTCCATTCGATTCAGTCACCTGCCGGTGAAGAGCACGCTCGACCCTCTTGGCGACCACTGTGCCGCCTGCTCGCGCGCTGGACGTTTGCGCTCCCGGGGCGTGCCATTGGAACGAGCGGCCGCCAGGGTTTGCCGTGAGGCCAGAGCTACCGTTGCAACCAATTTTCTGCTCCGCGACTTCAATGTGATCACACAGCGGCATGGCGACCGACGCCTTGAGGTTATCGCAAATGGACTTCCGTTGTGGGGCGTGGTCCAGCTCTATTACGCCCTGTCATTCATGTTGCGTTCCAGGCTTACAACGCTGCACTTCGTATATTGCCGGAATGCACCTGAAACATCCTGAAACCGTGTTTCGCGCCTTACACACCAGCCCCGCCGCGAAAGGAATAATGACAGCAACAACGGCGAAAACAATAGAAACAACAATAGTAAGTTGTAGCAACTGTAGCTACGGCAAAGGCAGCCGTGACTACGGCAAACAAACCAACAGCAACGATGAGAACAGCAGCAACATCAACAATGTCATGTGCTTGCAACAGTAACATCATGTGCTTGCAGATTGTTACTTCAATCGGAGCTACAGCTTCCAAGCCTTCCACAACCGTACTCCTGTGGGCTTGGTTGCAGCTGCAGTCACGATGCCTCTGAAGATGTGTTTGGACCGCCCAAAATGAGCCCAAAGGCTAATTCTCTAGCACGGGATGGTGTAGGCGCTCTGCAAACTTGATGTTGTCGATGCTGCTACGTTTTACTCATTTTTTGATCATGCGGACATGTGCCGGCATTTCGGTTCAGACCACGAACTTTCTCGGAAGTGGCATGGCTTTATTGCCTGTACGGATCGCGTCTGATGCCACGAGTTCCTGGCTGCTGCCTCCTGCTGGTATTGCTCGCAAGCGAAGTTGTTGCTTGGGCTGGGGGTGTTGAGAATGAGTGCCTAGCCTGCAGGGTTTACGCTTCAACCCATCGGAGGTTTTTTTTTCGCAGTTTCAGGACAACTTTTCTGTGCAATTTCTGTGCATTGTGCAGGATTGGATCCAAAACATGTCTGGATGAGCTTTCAGAGGGCTGTCGGTAATCAAATTTCATATGGTGTTGGGGACATGGTCAATCGAGAGCAGGTCAGCCGTGCCAGTGCCGAGACCGGAGCCTACATTTTGGCGCCGGCTGTCGCCTTACGCCGTTTTGAATGCGACCCTTCCTTGGCAAGGCACGTTGGGAGTTGGAGATCATAATGAGAGCCGGTGTTGGAAGTGTCAACATACATGATGATCGTAGACGGTACCTACCTGAATTTACAACATAAACCGTTTTTTTGAAATTTGTGTCCGTCGGGTTGATTTTGGCGTTGGTTGCAATAGTGATTTTCCAGAGTCTGCTGGTGGCTCACAACCTGCATGCGCCTACCGCGCGGTTATGGTCCAAGTGCACTCGTGGCTTGTTTGCCCCTTTGTGATTCAGAGCTTTGCCTGACAAGGTGTTGGCACTGCCCATCCGTGTGTGTGTGAGCCGCAGGTGGGGACAGTTGAAGTTTCAATGTTTGATGCATCCAGCTTCTCTCCCATAGCAGAGCGCTGAAATGTGTGCACATCGAACGTTGCAATCCCAAACCGTGCCTTTTTCCTCAGCATATTCAGGTCATGTGGACACCACCTCCTGTGGGGTGGAAAGGTGACCGTGGCTGATCAAGATTTCAATTTTTGTTTCGTTGCGTGAATGTTTAACTGTTGGGTCCCCGGGAGCATTGCGCACATACGGATAGAACACCTTGAATGGCTCAATGCATCTTTCGGGGCACGATATCTCGTGATCCTTGGACGTGTGCGTTGTAGATCCACCAACATCTCCTGCTGCCAGTACCATGTTTCACAATCTTTGTCAACAGAGACGGTGGCTTCGAGAATCCCATAAATTTACGCAGCCAAGGGCACGATAGGCCACGTAGAATCTGCATGAGGTATGTGGACATTTTTTTTGGCAATGGGTCCACGATTCCAACCTAAGCCTTCACAAGCGAGCTCTCCACCCCAGATCCTCATCCTTAAGAACCCGTTGAACCCATATGGGGTTTCTTAACTAAAGCCAGGGACCGTTTTGTTGGGGGGGGTTCCATAACGCGGATTATAGTATTTTGGTGTCCGTATTGGGATCGATTATTTGGGGAGACCATTACCGGGGGCCACAAGACCAATACAAGACCATAAAGCCTAGCTCCAACAGCTTAGAAAAGTGCTTAGACACCTGGACTCAAAATCATATCATAAATCCTCGACACGAAACCAACAAGAGGCGAGAGGAGTCCAGGCAAGCTGGAAGGCGAGTACCGGCTCTACTTCCGCAGCCGCCCGGAGCAGAAATTCTTGCTCAGAGGGCTTGGTGGGTAGTGGTTTCGGGTTGAGGGTTGGTGTTTGGGCACAGTGTTGTGAAGCAGGTAAGTCAAAGGCTTCCAAAGAATTAGTTTGCAAAGCCCAGAATTTTGGTACATGGAATGTAACGGTGTGGTGCATGATCGGTCCATGATCCAATATGGAGGGGTTTATAGCAGACGGGGCTCATTCCTCGCAGGCACCTATGTTTGGGTTCCCTGAAGACATTCTGCAGCATGTGCCTTGAGGCCTAAAAATCAACCTCCGCACCCCGCTTCTTATTAGCAAATCCCCTTTGGGGTATGCCTTCTCAGGGGGGTGGGGAGGTTCATTATTTGGGGCTAGGGTTTCCATTGTCTCAGGCTGAGGCATGCACTAGCTTCAACACAGCGCAAATACGATTGGAAGCTAGGAGGGGTATACTGGTGTCCAGACTTGGCAGGTGGGCTGTATCTCAACCATGTTCACCTAGACTATACTATGCAAATATGATGTCTTTGTGGCGGGCGCATGCCATGCGCCTACTTGAAATACCTTGAAATGTTGACATATCGTGGCAGCCCCAGCCAGTCGAGCATGGGGAATTAGGCGTTTCCTTGTGTTCAGATGCAAAAGGACTCGCAAATCCCAACTTTCCGTTCTAGCTATGTTTATAAGAACGGTGACTGTTAACTTGAGGCTCTCTCATCGAAGGCTATGACATTGAGCTTACATCCTACCTGCCATCTTCTCGATGACATCCACGGTAATTGCTTTGCGTACTATATGCTCCATCCTCTACCCGAACCACAACGCCTAAACAGCCCAAAACAACCTCTACACCCATCTACGCCTTACATCCTGAAATTCAACCTAGGTGGATGCTGGGGGCCGCCCCAGGCAGTGGGTGTTGTGTTCTCCTCTGATCCGCTTAGCGAACCCTGGAGCTACAGGAGCAAGTGCCTTGGGTGTTGATTCGTTGAATAACCTTGATGGCTTTAAAAGTCAGACCCTCTTTGGGAAATTTCTGCGGTTAGCTCTGTTGTATTTTGCTGCTTGTTTGGGGGGCCCCGTTTGGGGAATAGCTAACATTTCTGAGCTTGTTGGATGCAGCAAACAGTACAGTGGTTACTGTGTTGCCCTCCTGATCGCTTGCTGATTTCTTTCGTCCCCCGTTCTCGTCCTGGATCTGTGTGTAGCTTAGCTTTTCAAACCTTCAACTTTGCACAACACACGGTACGGTTTTTAGGTCTTGCCAAAGGCACGATTCGGTAGTGGTTTTCTGAGAAATTCCCAACACTTGGGATGCAATGTCGCCGGCCCCTAGTTAGTGTCGAGATCTCATTCCTTTGTCATGACACGGGCGGGAAGTTCATTTAACTTGACCACAAGCCCTAAACCCTCAAGCGCCCCTGCTTCAAACTCTTTGAGCCAGGTACTGGGAGCCCGGGCATCGGGATCCTTTCCTTCCAATCTCGGGTTGGGGCCAGGGAGGCATGCGAAGCGACGATCGGGTGGGACAACCTTGGATCTTCTATCAGCCGCTCACGCGCTGGTACAGTTGAATAAAGGTAAACTTTGGCTTGCGTTCCATGATTTTGTTATACTGTTGTCCCAGGAGATCTGGCCAAGCTACTAGCTGAGAGTCCTTTATGCTCTGAAGTTGCCTGTGCGAAGTTTTCCATAGACTTCTTTTGTTCAACAAATTCTGCGCCAGCGAAGGCTGCAATGCGAATAGGTGTCTGACAAAGTTTTAAAGCTTTTGTTCCGGAAAACTCTGCTACAAGAACGTGTGCTGCTGCTGCTGCTGCTGCTGCTGCTGCTGTTGTTGCTGCAGTAAGGACAGGAGAGCAACGTCGGTTGCTTAGGGCTTCTGGCGCGGCCGTTACTTCCATTGCTGACAGCCAGGGAGGTGTTTGGTGGCTGTTCGCCACCAATAACCCAAACGTGTCCGTCTCCCAAAGCGAAGATGGGCTGCAATGGCATTTGATCCAGCGGAGCTCTTTACCTTTTGCGGAGAACTGCTCCGGTTTCTGGGGTAATCGCGCAGTTTGGGCGGAGATGGAGAATCAGAAGATTGTCTTCCATGCTCTGCAGGAGCAGGCATGCGGTGTGTGGAATACTTATCACTACACCAGTAGCTCGGCTGCTGTTACGGAATTTGTCGACAGTGCCATCATAAGGAGACGCTTCTAACCTTTCTTGTTTATCTGTCGTGGTACTGTTGATGGATGACATCTTGCACCACCTAAGGGCCCTAAACTACTGTAATTCCTAGGACTTTAGGGACTGAAGGTGGGGCAAGATTACCTCCATCAACAGTAGCTTCGTCCCATATCCTGTAACCCTCTCTCAAGCGATCCTATGTAGGTAATATAAGCTCTTTGACAGAGGTAGCGATGGGCTCTCGGACTGGACCGTCTCCTATCCGGGCCCAGTCAAAGGTCTTCAGCGTGCCCCGGGCGGGATGTTCGGTGGCCCGAGCCTGGTAGCTTGCTGATTGTTAGGAGGGCAGGGCTCTACAGACTAACATCAAGTACTCCCAACATGGTATAGTATACGGCGATGGGCATTTTTGTTTAAGATGGGGGGGGGGGGGGGGGGTCCCGCTGATCCTAAGCCCTAACCCTTAAATGATATGTACTGTAGATTCCGCTTTCTGTTCCATCATTAACACTTACGAAGTTCATTTCCTACTAGCAACCTTCAAGGCAGTCTTTCCTCTGATTTAAGTTCCTTAACAGCCCCTAAACCCTTACCCTGCGCCCTAAACCCTAAAAGAGTAGCAACCTCCAGGCTGTCCTTCCTCAATTCCTTGGTGGTGGACGTTTCGGCCTTCCAGTTCCCATGCCTCGAAGCCCCGCCGGCGTTCGTCATCTCTGGTTTCACGCGGCGTCCCAAGGGGGAAACCTCCCCACAGAAACTGGGTTGCTGTTAAGGAACCTTAAATTAAGTGCAAAAAATATGGGTATATAGCAGACAATACGGTCTCTTTATCATAGTAACTTAGTTCAAGTTCCTCAACAGCAACCCAGGATATATACCATGCAATTGCAGCAGGCGGGCTCTCTGCGAATTCAAACTAAGTTACCGTCAGTGCTTAGCAAGCCCTAGTATCTATTGCACATATACATACACATGGTAGTCTCCAGAAATACGTTGACCCCAATATAGACCCAAAAACATTATAACCGTTGTTATAGGAACCCCCAAAAAGGTACCCGTAATCTTGGGAAGTCCCTATATACACCTGGAGATTATGGTGCCTAAGCCCTATAAACCCTAAACCCTAGTAATTTGGTCGTAAGTTCCATAACAACAACTGAGCAGGCCGACCGCAAGACGAGTGGGCCGTGCTGCATGTCGATCCGAAGCACAGCCTCACATGTTCAAGGTTTTGGTCTTAAGGCCTAGGGCTTGGTGACTAAGTCAGTATTTTCCTTCGCACTCAAGAAGGCAGTGCGAGTGGCCCATATATTCCCTGCAGCTCCCTGCAACTTTCCGCCTAATTTCTCAGGGAATTCCGGGTGCTTATCATACAACACATCTTCGATGGTTGTTAGACTTGTGGGGATCTAAGGAAAACAAACCCACTGGGAGCCGAGCTGGAGCATATGGCGGCCTACCTGCCTCCAAACACTACCAGCTGGGAGTTTGACCAGGTGGCGGATCCCAGCTTCACCTACTACATGCAGGCGGCCAGGGGCAGAATTCATGGGAATTCGTAACTACTTATAACTTGGCTTATAGCACTGCCTACAACTGGGAACCCACATTAGCCCGTGTAGGGGAATTACATTACATGAAGGCGGCCAGGGGCTCAAGGTTTGGTATCCGGGAGTTAGGTTGTAGCGGCGGTCCGATTCCCACGCAACATCAAACACCCGCGTGCGCCCACATGAAGGATTCCTGGGAGGAGGTGCATAAGATCACACATTCAGAGATCCGCTTTGTCTTCTTTTTCGTCGAGCTGTACCTCCATCCATCCCAAAACCGCATATCCTACACCCCAAGAACTTGTTGTTCGTTCGTTGTTGGGCATTTGCAAAACAAGTTTTATGCCCTTCGGCAAGAATAACGGAAATTTGCTAGCATTGGGAGCCTGACAAAAACATGCACTTTTGTCCCTGCCTCCTTTCACCGTTTTCTCGGTCTTTGGCCCTTCGTGGTTCAATCTACCCTGAACCTTTGGCATGGCGCCAGGCGTTAGAAAGATTACCAAGACATCCAGAAATTCGTGTACTGGGGAAGACATGATACGGTGGATACGAAAAGTACCTTATACCTTGAGATTATGGTACAATAGTACACTAACTTTAAATGGTCATGCAGGATATCTACTATCAACAGCAGTTTCCAGGAATTGGGGGACCCCAGGTGTAGACCCCAATAGATTACACTCGTTGTTATGCGGAGCTCTACAAAGGTACCCCTGCTTTTGGGAAATCCTTACTCCCTATAAACCCCTAGATCATACTAGTTTCCGTTCCGTCTTTTCCATTTGGTTTTCCGTTACTGGGGTACCATATGCTCTTAAAGGAAGTCCAATTTGCCGGATCCTTGCGCCTGCAATTGATTTGAATAAAGCCTGGCATCTAAGGCCTAAGTTGGCTTCAAACTTATTGCTTCGCTGGACCCCCCCCCACTCAGTAATAGTCACGAAGCTAGAAAGTGGAAATACATAAGTGTCCCCTTGTATCCCTTCTACACCGTTTTTACAGGGGCCACAATGCCCCAGGCTCCAAGGAAATCTTGTGAGGCCAAGCATGGGATTTGGGTTAGGGTTTTTGACTTAGCAGGAAGCGTAGATGATTTCCATTAATGACTTCTTATAACGCTTGGACTTTCTAGCATAACATAGCCCAAACCCCCACTTAGGGTGATAATTCCAGAAGCCCTGTGATTGCCTACGCCACGCGCAGCCGCCCCCATGTACCTGTCCTTCGCAATGCGCCATGCTCTTAAATACCGTGCCCTAGATCTCGGTCTGCAAGTTGGTTGAGCTTTTTTCAGAATATTGTGAAACCATCAACTCTGAACTTAACAGCCATTCAGAATACATGCCACCATGCTCTACTGCACCAGGCTCCTTGGTCCAGGTTCGCCTTGCCTGTGAACTGTTCATAACAAATCCAGCTAGTCCTTGGTGGTTACCTTTCTTGCATGTGTTTCACGGTGGGCTCGCGTTAAACCTTCACCTCCAAAACCAAGCCCTAAAATTAATTGCCTGCGGCTCTTGCAGGACTTTGCAGCATCTTCCTCGTCACCTCGAGCGCTAATGTTCCCCGGACGATCTGTTTAGGACAGGTAGTCCGGCTCAGGTCTCTGATCTGATAGGGTGCTCTTTGGGGTCACCATTCTGATCATGACAGAGCAACAAGATTTTGCCTGACTCGTCTAGAAACAGCCTGTCGCTCAGGGAGAAACAACTTCTATCATGAAGCCCATTGTAGTACATGGGGGCACACAACTGGACAACCCCCCCCCCCCTAACTCTCAAGGTTCTATGATGGCGATAACAACGTCAAGGGCACCGGCAACATTGGAATGGCTGTGGGCTTGGCTCACAAGATCTTTCCTGGTGGTCCGGGTTTGGAAGCGGGATACGTGGAAATCCAAGTCTAGTGTCACATAAGCTGGCGACTGCGGTTGTACAGACTGTAGCATAGGACGGACACATGGAGGCAAGAGAAAAACTGGCGCTTGCATTTACACCCCAAAGCATCAGGATCCGAACCACGAGGACAGCCAATATGAAGCCCCATATCCCTATAACCCCTATACTTCCTATAAACCCTAAACCCTATCAACCCCTGCGCAAGCCTTAGAGCCCTTTAGAAGGGGTCCCGTGTTTTGTGATGTGTGTTGGGTCTTGTGAAGCCGACCTCTGGCAGCAGCAGATAAGGTTCCAACGCTAGGTTGCCAGACTTCTCAGAATCATGGGTCTCTTCTCCCTGTGGGAAGGCTTCAAGTTTCAACCAAGTAATATCCTACAGTCATTTTTCATGATAAGAAAAGCTGCGCATATATATATATATACATATATACACACATATATATATCTCTCTCTCTCTCTCTTTCTCTCTCTCTCTCTCTCTCTCTCTCTTTCTCTATCTCCCCTATAGCCCCTTTAGAGGGACCTAAGCCCCCCTCGCATTTTAGGCAGCCAGATGTGCGTGAGGTGTAAGAAGCTATGGGCCCTTCACTGAGCTTGTCAGGTTTGAAGGTGTATCTATGAGGGTTTAGGGTTTGGGGTTCAGGGTCTGAAGGTGTATCTATGAGGTATATGAGGACCGGAGGGTTAAGTTCCCATACTAGGGAACCATAGTTGCACTAAACGCTATACTTTAAGCCAGAGCTGCATAGCCTAAACTCTATACCCTAAACCCTCTACCCTATACCTGAAACCCTATACCCTAAACCTATATACTCCCTACCTTAAACCCTATACCCTGAACCCGAAACCTTTGGATGGGCAGGTGCATCCTCATGTGGTGACCCTGAGATCTTCTTCCTGAAGCAGGCCAGGCAGGACGTGTGCTACAGGGCATCATATATATATATGTATTTACATATATATACATATATATATATATATACATGGAAAAATATATGGTAAGGTGTAGGGGATCTAGGGGGTATATAGGGTTTACGGTTGGGCAGATACATGTATAGGGAAGAAAAGGAGATATAAAGGGGATATAGGGAACTGGGCAAAGAATCACAACCTGACATGACCTTCCCGCATACTGTGGTGTACATAGAAAATTTTTAGCAACAGCCCCCAGATTGGTGTAATGCCAGATTAACGTAGAAATGTGTAGAAGCTTGAGTTGCTGGATGGGAGTGGAGGAGGGAAGCTGGGTATGACTTGAGGGCTTGTGGTACACCCAAACGCTAAACCCTAGACCCTGAACCCTAGACCCGAATAGGGGTCTGCATGAGAATTATTCTGGGGATTCCGCTCTCCATCCTTCTTTAAGCCCCAGTACAACAGTCTCAGCGCAGCCGAAGCTGAGAATTTGAAGCCTGGATTTTTAATTTGAGTCCAGTGGTCCCTTTAAGAGCAGTAATTATTATGGGAGATTTGCAGCGATTACACAGGGAGAGAGGGATATACATGTAGATATACGTACATGTACATGTCAGGTTACATGCTCGTAGGGAGACATGGGGAGTACGGTCATGTTGAGGATTTCCCGCAATAACGGTCCGCCTTTCCAGGTTCCTAGAATCAGGACTGTAGAATACTGCCGTCATGCCTGATCTGCTTGGTGGGAGTGCGTGCGAACGGATGACGAGGTAGTCGTGAAAATGCCCGAGCCAACAACTTTCTAGTTTGTTGCCCTAGTTTCTACACTAGGCTTCAAACCTCATTCCCTAGACTAGGAAGCCTTTAATTGGAGGTCATTGGTTTCGGCAACGCTTGTGGCACTGTAGCTTGCTTGCGGCTTGGCAAGAATCAGTTGAAGAGATGAGGGCGTTTGAACTGGTGTTCCCTTTTTGGCTGAGGGATGGGGATTCCAACACGGTGATGCCGTGGAAACAAAAAATCTTACATTGCGCTAAGTACCTTATGCCTTGGGCATTCGGGTATTCTAGCATATTACCGTCCTGCACAGTTTTTACTCTTAGCGTTCGGAGTCCCCCTTCCTAAGCCCTGATTGGAGTCTCAGGCACGCTACATCGAACTCACGTGCGTGGATGTCGCTTGCCAAAGAAGCTCCGTTGGACCGGATGTGGGGTGCGTGGAGGTTTGTATTACATGTTTCTCCCCATGCATATCCCAACGCATGCAATCCAAATTTCCACCCATAGTCCCCCTAAAATAGTAGTTTCCATTTTCTTTTTTCCATTATCATTATATAACCCCTATAATTCTATCTACTCAAGGGGGACTATAAACCCTAAACCCTAAACCCTATACCCCATAGGGGGACCATACATTCCCTGAAGTTGCAGGAACGTTTTGTTCAACAGCAAGCAACATCCACGCCTGAAGCACGAGGTACGCCCAGAAGTGTCGCGTGCTTTCTTGCATGGGTGAGTGTTTTAGGGCGCTTCCTGGGAAGGCATGCGGGAGTTATCAGGGTCTAAGCTTTTCAACACTCTGTTATGGAGTTTCCTTAGACGGGTTTGTCAACGTCTCACTGGTCCCAGCTGAAGGATAGGGCAACCATAGTTTCAGTTTCAGCTAGATCGACGTTGACGTAGAAAAGTGGCAACCCTCACGCGTAGAGAGCCGCGATCTCATGACACCGCTGGTGGGCCGGCTCATACTTATCGCGTTGTGCTGCGTTGCAGCCGCTCATTTTTCCCTGCAGTCCACATAGATAACTGCCCCCACTGTCAGGTTCACAGTCTTGATAGGCATGGCCGAGGTATCTTGAGCATCAGAAACCCAATGTGAGCCATGGCCTCAACTCCCTGAAAGAGGGTTGTATAGGGGATTCTGTAGTAGGGGAGTATTCTAAGGTTTTATTATGGGGGATGCTAGGAGTTTAGACCCTCAGCCCTAAACTCTAAACCCAAGGGTTCAAAAGGCGGATACTAGGAGTTCAGACTATGGCTCTTGTGGCTTGCTAGCCCTGGTGCAGGTGAAGCCTTGTTGAACGATCCTTCGATGAGGCCTGTGTTGCTGGAAGTTGCATACTGGCTCTTAGCACGGAATGAGGGTATATTCTATATAGGCTATAGGGATTATATAGGGATAATGTGGGATTATATAGGGAATATATAGAGATTATGTAGGCACTAAATGGGGATCATGCTATCCATGGGTTATATTCCATTTCTTCCTTCTAGGAACCAAGAAGTTGAATCATTGAAGTTGGGCAAACTGTGCCGGGATGGGTCTAGCTGTTTCTTTACAATCATAGATCCCTGAAGTCTGTGAAGCTCCTACGGGCACGTGGCAAGTTGCATAGGTGATCTGCAATCGCCCCTGTTGCGCTTTAGGCAATCATCGGAAACTGCAGCCACGTGTGAAGCAGCGTGCTCTGGCGGCAAGAGATTTTGCGTTGGGGCCCAGCATATTTGGTGCTTGTTCCATGGCGCTGTTTGTGAACTTGGGTCCCAAGGCAGACACGGTGTCCAGATCGTCATGGCCCTCCTTTGGATCATCATTTTGCTGCCTTCGTGCGTTCAAGGCGCAAGCAGTCCTCGTAACAGGATTGGACATGCTTGGCAGTGTATTGTTGTTTGGGACAAGCATTAGAAGAGTCCGTTGCAACCCGCATCTTTGACATGTGCATGCAGCAAAAGGGAAGAAGTGATCCAACTTAATTGCTCGCTGCGAGGCAAGATCGCATCATTGAATTGGCCACCATGCTGCACTTCAAATTGGGATTGTGGGTCGGGCAAATCCGTTCTGTTATGCCCGTATTCTGTTCCTATGACCTGAGCCCACGTCAAGAGATCCAACAATTTGGGAGTTCACACTGTTGTACTGGGTAGGCCCCTGAAATATTTAAATATTTCCCCTAATGGCATTCTTAAGGGACCTTATATACTAATATTTCTCGAAGGGCTTTAGGGGCCAACCCAGTGTAGAGGTGGAGATTTGGGGAGGTGGTGCAAGAAGAGGAGGCAGCGGTAGCAGTGCGGGTGACGTCGGCGGCGGCGGTGGCGATGGCGATGTCACCCACAACATGGAAATTGTGATATCCAGTAGTAGTTACCATTTTCTTGTCCATTATCCCCCGTATAACCCCATATACACCTTTAATAACCACATAAAAACCTTTAATAATCCCATATAAACCCCTAATAATTTCCTACCATGATGATCCGGCGACTTGACACTTGGGCCAAGCGGACAACCTTGCGTTCGTGGCTGTCCCGCCTAGAACGGAAGAGGCACATGGAACTTCGCTGTCGCACCACGATCTGCGGTTGCAAGCCTTGGCCAGTCCTATGCACCCCAAAAAGGGCAGATGTAGTGTGAACCATCGCTAGAAACTAGTTCGGTGCACATACTGATTATGTCAAGTTTGCTTGTCAAGATATCTATCAGTTTGCATGTGCAAATTCCGCCTGCAGAAAATACGTCTTTTTGGCTCGTGTTGGGAGAAGCAGGATGAGCTTTTCTCTTCTTAAATTCGAACTCTTGGGACCCTTGGGAACTAATTGATGTAATTTCGGCATTCGCTCGGGCCTGCATTTCCTGGTCTTCGCACATTCACTGCCGCTTAGCCGTAAGGTGGTAGAGCATGGGATTGTCGATGCAATGCTTGCGGAAATCAGGGAAGCTTGCGAAGGCTCATCAACCAATCCACCTGCGATGTTGGCTACGATGTTGGTTTACCCTGGGCAGTTCCCTGGTCCCGCCTCCACACCCAAAACTGGCAATGCGATGGCCGGGCAAACTCTCCCCGGTTTTTCCAGCACCGTCAGGCAGAAACTTTAACTCGAGGCCATCAAGCGCTAAATGCTCTGAAAGTTTGGCAAGCGTTAACTGCTCGGCAATACGGGGGTTTCCGAATATTGAAAATCCGGAGTACCTTTTTTGGCCGACCCACAATAAGAAGGGTCATAGTATACTGGAGTCAAGCTTGTCCTGCCAATGGGTGCCCCTACACCCTAAACCCGCAAGCCTAAACCGCGTGCTTCATGTGTTCTAGTCC